AAAATGCTAATTTATAATTGAGGACTGTTGAATCATATACACCTACATAAAAACTGCAGGAAGCAAGGTTTGCGGAGGAAATAAATTTGACGTGGGTCTTGATGTAATACACGTGGATATGAGATGGAGTGAGGGGCCATTTGGATGCAGGAAAGCAGAGCAAAAAGCCCGGGAGCAGGACCGAACCTAGGAATGCCAGGAATGGTGGATTCCAACAGGACGGGGCTGTCTGGGTGCTCTTGAGCCCTGAGTGGAGCCTGAGTTTTCTCTGAAAGGCAGTAAGTAACCTCCTCTGGCAAGATGAAGTGATGTGGCAGTGTGGAAGGACTGGCCGGGATGGACTGGTGTAGGTAAGTCTGCAGTGGGCTGATTGGGCTGTGCTAATCCACGTGAGGTGGTGAAATGCAAATGAGATAGTGGGCTGGTGGGAGGCGGTCATCTGAGAAGGGACAAATCTGAGACATGGCGGAGAGAAGAGAGGAAGGAGACAAAGAACTCTTCTTTTTTCAAGCCTTTATTTACTTCTGATTTGAGCAGTACGTGTGCACTGTCCAACCCCCGAAAAGACAGAGAAAGATAAGAAGCAGTCTTTATAATCCTGCCACTCTGGAATAACACTTGTGAGCATTCAAGTACTGTATTTGAGGATGACAGGAGAACTGGCTCATTTTTTGACCACCACGGGGTGAATCATTTCCCCTCCAGTGGCAGCTGTATCCCATCAGCTTTCTGACAACCTGCTAGGGACAGAGAAAGAGCTTCTAAAACTGTTTCTTCTGTTTGTCCACCCTAAACGTCCAACCCGGTGCTCTGTTAATGATTTTAATTAACCTTATCTTGAGGAGGTGCCCAGTTTGGTGGATGCTTTGCTTTCCAATCCTAGAAATTAGGTCTGGTTCCACCTTAGCCTCACCGACGTTTACCCACAGGTGTGCTGGCTGTGGAATTCTAAAATCTTGAAGCTCGAATACTCTCTTCTCTTACCTCAGCCTTCCACCATCCCAGTTCCTGTCTTCTCCAGACTTCCGGACACTGAATTCTTTCTACTTTTCCTGTCCCTCTGCTTTCTCAGGTTACATGGTTAAACCACCTGAACTGCTTTCTCTCTGTCATCTTTGATTGTCTCTACTCCTGGTCTTCCCTTTTACCTGCTGGGCAAAATGGAAAACTCAGATGAGTGTTTCCATTCATCTTTGCTGGGAGATGTATGTAGCTCAGTGCTGTCAGAGGACAGCATGGAAGATGGAAATTGAAGCCACAGCAGGTGTGCCGTCTCAGCCACCGATATTGTCCCTTGGTCTCCTGTTCCCCTTAATAATTACACACAGCATACTTATTCCATTCCTTTTTTCCCTCTAGTCTCGGGAGATGAATGGAGTCCCTCCTTACCATCAAGTCTAATTTCTCCATCTCTTCCAGCTGACTCAGCGCCTCCTCCCACTTCCTTCAGAAAACTGCTCCATCAACCATCATGTGTCCTATATTTTCAACCTCTGGCTCCCTACTGATGAATGAAACTGTTTCTTCAGGCTGTTCCCCAATCCTGCATTTCCTTCCAGTTACCATCCCACTCTTCTCTCTCCTTCAGAGTCATCTGTTCAGGGACAATTTCAAACACACTGAAACAATGCAGAGACTCATGCAACAAATAAACAAATTTAGCAGATGTTCACATTTTGCCTTATTGACTCAGGTTTTTTCCTTATAGAAATAAAATGCCTCGGGAGAAAAAGTGGAAAGATTTGTCTAGACAGCTATTTCTGCTTCTATCCCTCTACTCACTTCTCAATCCATTGCATTGTGGGTTCTGCCCCCACCACTCTATCACACCACTGAAATCATTCATGACTCTGATTTAAAATGAATCTGTTACCAACCTGAACTCAGGTCAGCTCTGACGACTAGAAGCAAATTCAGTCTACTGACACCAGGTGGTGGTGAAGGAAAGTACGGCCTTTATTGCAGGATACCCAGCAAGGCAGTGGGAGACAAGTGTCAGATCCACTCCTGTTTGGTCTTTGGGTTAGGGGTGTTTTAAAGGGGAAAACCAAAGACGCTGGGATTAATTATTGTCTTGTGATATTTCTTAATCATAGTTTCAAGGGTTAGGATGTCTCTGGTTTACGATTCTCTGGTCAAGTGGCCCAAAGCTGGGGGTCTGTGAGTTCATCTTGCCCTGGAGAAACAACCTGAGTTTGTACATTAATGATGATGTTTTTAATAGCAATTTTAGTACATTAAGGATATTACTGAGAACAGTAGTTTTAGTCATCTGACTCTGGTTGATTAGTATTCAGTTGGCACAGGATTGAGGTCAGAGGGGACAAGAAAGGGAACAAAGTTTTGGATAGACAGATTAATCATAAACAGTAAGGGAACTTGGTTTAAGGGGGCATTGGTTTCAAACCATTCATGATCTTCATTTAAAATGCACGTGCTGCCTCTTGGGGAGTAATGGAAATGTTAGGGATCTTGATTGTGGTGGTGGTTTCATAGGGGTATGCAGCTATCAAATTCATCAAATTGTACATCTGAAATATGTGTAGTTTGCTACACAGAAATTATACCACAAGTAATTTGTTTAAAAAAATGTAGGTGTTGTCCAAGGTTCGATCCTCAGAACACTGCCCTTTGAAAACAATGCTATACCAGTGTTTTTCAAATTGCTGAGGTCATCAAACCAATTTAGCGTCTCACTACTAGCATTAAAAATAATAATTATAATACAAAGTGCAGATTGTTTCATGAATTTTTAATTTCAGTTGTCAATAATGTGTATACTGGGCCCCGTAGCAAAATGTATTTATGTGAGTTGTTGTCAAGATATTTGAAAGATGTTTTTCTAGATTAGTTGTCTTCAAAATTTTTATTTGCATGAGTTTATCATTATAAGTGATTTAATACCTGCCATAATCCGTTCAAAAAAAATAAATTTTCTTTAATAGTTGGAAATTTTACATCATCTCCTTTCCATTCTTCTTCCTTCATAAGATAAAACATACATATATATATATATACACACACGACATGTAGATAATATATGTGAATATCTTTTTTTACTAGAAAGTCTATAATACTTCTCTGAAATAAAAATATGTATAAAGTTGAAATTAAATTTTTATAAACTTCCTGTGACCACAAGGCTTTAGTGTTAAAATATTTCTTTTGTCAATTATCAGTATACAACTGATCAAATAAACATAGTATACATTTTGATTATTAAACATAAAAATTAAAATTTTATTAGGGATGCAACTTTTAATGAGACTGAGAATTATTATTTTCAGTTAATCCACATGTCCATGAATATCACTATTGCTAGAATGAGACAGGTTCTGCATCAATCCTATTCCTATTTTTTGTTTATAGATCTAAGAGCTGACAATCTTTGTTTACATAAACAAGCAGATTCCCGTGTAACACTTACTGAATCAGTTGAACTCAGTTCTTTCAACTACTTAAAAGATCTATGTCAAATCACATGGTGGATCTACCATCAATTTTCAATTAACTTTAGATTAACAGAAGAGTCACAAAAATAGTTTAGAGATTCCCCCATATACCTTTTTTTGTTTGTTTTTTGGGGGGCAGATAATCCCCCATATTATCTTTAACCCAGCTTCCCCTACTGTTAACATCTTAGGGCATGGTACACAGATCAAAACTAAGAAATTAACATTGCTGTAATACTATTCATTTAACTATAGACTTTCTTCAGATTTCATCAGTTTTCCCACTCATGTCCTTTTCTGTTCCAGGATCCAATTCAAGATCCCACATTGCTTTTAGTCCTATGTCTCCTTGGTCTTTTCTTATCTGTGATTTTCTCAGTCTTTCTTCGTTTTTCATGATAGTCATAGTTTTGAGGTGTATTGGTCAGGTACTTTCGATAATTTTGGCTAATTTCTCTTGATGGGTCACCAGACATTTAAAAAAAATAATTGATAAGCTGGTAACTCAATTAGGTCCTCCTTCAATTTCGTTAAAAACAAATAATTACGAAAATCAAAATATCTACATATTTCCAGTTGCTCTTGTGTCTGGTGTCCCAGAGGTCTGTACACCCTGGGACAATAATATATCATAGTAAGACTGGATTCAGCCCTGGAGAGAGGTATGCCTTTCTTTTATGAAATGGATGAAAGATGTATCCTTAGGCAACTTTTTAGAAATTAGGATGTAAACGTTGATTTCCTGAAAACTCTCTCAGCCTTAATACTTACAGGGGTTTGTATTCTATGGCTCCGAATGATTCCGCTCACTCCAAATGATTTCACCTACCTGCATGGTCGCTGATTCCTCAAGTTCTTACCTTTGGTCCGTACCTGTTCCGTTGTCTAAGGCTCAAACTACTCTAAACTCTTAAGTGCTCCTGCACCTGGTTTCCTAATACTCGCGCTTCATTTTCCTCCTCTTAACAATACCAAATGGATGCAGCTTCTGGTACACACACATTGCTTCCTACTTCTTGAGCCTGGAGGCTCCATCCACGTCCCACCCCCGGCGCTCACCTGTGTAGTTGGGGCTCTGTATTCAGACTATCTAGGCTCCCATCTCTAGATGCCACTTGGAAACGAGCTCAAGGTGGCAGATCACGAGGGCAATACAACCAACCACTCGTCTCTCTGGAAGATGTTTCCCACGTTTAACCGTGAGGAATGTCTGCAGTGCACATCACAGTCTTCAAAGTTCCCAGGCTGCCAGCGCTCTCAAGGCGCCTCATCTGCGCGGTGATTTCTAGTCTTGGCTACGAAAGTGAGCAGCGTCCACCCTGAAATGAAGTGAGTCCTAGACGAAATTCAACTAGTAATCACACGTCCCCAGCCTTCATCTCGCTGAGTCCTTGGCTAATGAGCTCCGAGGCCCCGCCCACCCCTGCCTGCCCGCCGGACCTTAAAGCAGGCTTGGAGAGCGCCTTCCCTACGCAGGCAGTGGACCCACCAAGAGCCTTTACTATTTGAAGGTTAGAGGGCCAGTCAGAACGTATGCGAGACGGAGCTAGTATTCTCGCGAGAAGTCTGGGAGACGACAGTGATGGCGGCGGCGGGAACCGGTCCCGGGCCAGGAGTGGGTGCAGGACCCGGCCCGACAGCGGCTGCAAATGCAACACCGGCGGAAGAAGGGGAGACGAAGCCGGTAGTAGCGGTAGTAGCCGCTCCGGCCGGAGAGGGGACGTCCGCTGCTCCAGCCGCCGAGCCCGGCTCCGGAGAGGCCGAAAGCGGGTGAGACGTCCTGCAGCCCTAGGAGGACACGGAGAGGGAGGCCCGCCCCCTCTTGGAATCCCGGGAGCCCTGCTGCCCGCCCCTTCCGAACCTCGGCCCTGGGGCCAACGGCTCGCCCTGCCCCCTCGGAGACTTAGTCCCGCCCGCCGCTTGGCCCATCCCCTCCGCAGTGTATCTCAGACTACCCTCCTTTCTGCACCTTTCTCGCCAAGTTTCTCATCCTACCTCCTGGCTTTTATCCCGGCGCGGGGCTGGTAGGTCACTCTTCTAGCTGGAACCCTTCAAAAATCCCAGAGAGGAAACCACTTTGCATTTCCAGTCTGGAGGAGGTAATGATCCCTCTGAAAACAGAGAAGAGCTGCATCTCTACCAAGCTACCCCAGGACCAGTTCTGTCCCGTGTAGACCGGCCTATAAGGGCCTGTTAGTTTTCCTTTACCCCGTGGGCCTGTGTCTGCCTTGGCCACATTCTTCCTAACCCTGGGCATCCAGTCTGAGAACAAGCTTGGCTGAAAAAGCTGTAGGAGTGTGAGGTTCAGCTGTACTTTGAGCATCATCTGTTCAGGTTTGTTTCTCCTGAAAATTCTTTTTTTTTTTTTTTGGTGGGGGGTAATTAGGCTTATTTATTTACTTTTAGAGGAGGTACTGGGAATTCAAACCCAGGACCTCGTGCATGATACGCATGCACTCTACCACTTGAACATACCCTCCCCCCTTGAAAATTCTTACTTGAGTCCTTTCCTTATCTCCTAGCGATGCGAACTCGGTTGATGTAAGTGGTGGCTTGGAGACAGAATCCTCTAATGGGAAAGATACATTAGTAAGTATTTCTTTTTGGATGTTTGTAAAGCAGAATGGAGTTTTCAAATGAATCAGAAATACAGTCAGGTCAATTAACTTGATTCTCTCATGGCTCTGCGGACACAGGAAGGTGCTGGGGATACCTCAGAGGTGATGGATACTCAGGCGGGCTCCGTGGATGAAGAGAATGGCCGACAGCTGGGAGAGGTGGAGCTGCAGTGTGGGATATGTACTAAGTGGTTCACAGCGGACGCCTTCGGCATAGATACCTCGTGAGTATTTTTTGTAGCCTTTGTAAGATCGCCTTGTAAAATACTAGATCTCAACGTGTTCAGTGGTTGAATGGTTTGTGGACAAATGTAAGTGCATAGTATTTCCTGTGTCTCCTCGTTCCTGTTTAGGAGTAGTAGGATTTGGATCAGGAATTGTTTGAACACAGGAGCGTGTTTTCTGCCTACTGAAGGCACAGTCCTAATAGGTACAGTGATAGGCATTATCCCTGTTTTTCCACTTAGGATCTAGATGAGAGACAAAAGCATGCAAATACAAAGCGTGATGTAAACAAATTTGGGACAATATCATTTAAGCCTTGTATTTCATGTTACAGATTTTGGGGAAAGGGTTGATGTCTATGGTACACAAAGCCTGATGTCAAAAATTTGAGGTGGCCTGTGCCTCTTCGTGCCTGAGCCATCCTTTTTTCCTTTTGGTTTCTAACCCACTCCCTTTAGGTGTCCTGAATTGTTTGTAAAACCAATTTCCAATCATTTACCTCTTCTAGTGAATTAAAGTCATTTTATGAATGATTGTGAATGAGAGGCTCCTTTCCTCATTCTAGGGATTTGGTCAACAGCTAGCAAGAATGACTCGCTGTCTGTGGAAACAGCTGTACTGCTGGCTCTCTGTGCTGCTCTTTATGGTCCATATTATATGAATAAATCTAGATAAGACTGTCTCAAAATAGGGCTGCATTATTCTGAAATTTATCCTCCTTGGGTGGGTTTGTGAAGAAATTCCTTCCTTTATAATTTGTTGTTTGCAGTCTAGTTAAAAAGTTAAAGAAATGCTAATAGCCTAATTAACATGTTACTGGTGACTAAGGATTGAATGTTTAAAAAAGAAAGAAAAACACTGAAGGATCAGGAAGAAAGAATTGTGACCTTGGTAGAAAGACCTATAGGGAAAATGTGCATGCTAAGCAAGGCTGGTCAGGTAGAAAAGACCTACAGTTGGGCCACTTTGGCCAGGGAGAATTTGTTTGGATAAAGAGAGCCTAGGAAAGAAAATTTACCAGAGACAGAACTTGGAGCAACCCAGGGAAGGATCAAACCATGGTTCAAAGTTTTGGTCGAGACCAGTTTGTACCTGAATCTGAGAAGTTACACCTAAAGCCCAGCAGGTGGGACAGATGATCTTTTGCAGCTGATGGAGGCAGTGCATGAGCCAGCAAGGTATGAGAAGGGCTGCTCTAAACACCTGACTGTGTTTGAGTTCCAGAATTAACTGCATACCCACCTGTCTCTAGTATGAGACTTTGCCTTCTGTAAGTGAGCTTATCTCAGTGGGCTATCTCAGGGGTTCTAGAGAGAGATAAAGGTAAGAGAACTTCATCTTAACATTCATAAGGATGCTTCTTCGTTCCTTGAGTGGTGGCAGTAGACACACACTTGGGAACCTTCTCTTTAAGGATACCTTAAACTAGTTACAGCAGAGTCCAAGATAAACCTGCCTTTATTTTGATGTCTTCTCTTCCAACTTAAACCGGTCTTTTATTTTTCTGTTACTGTCTCTTTTTTGAGACTAAGATCTCTTTCTCAGTCATCCAGGGCAGTCACCACACTCTGTCCTACCCACCCCTATGGAATCAGCCACCATGCTTAACCAATTTTTTTTCTTCTGTACACTTGCCTGACCTTTCTGTTTTATTATTTCACTCTAGTAAGGCCATTTTTTTTTTAAACCTTCTTCTGGAACTGCTACTTCCAGAAGTTTGCTTCTTCCAAACATGCCCATTTCCTGATCTCTTCCTCCCTTCAGACCCATCCTGTCGCTAAACTTAACCATTTTCACCTTGTTGCTTCCCCTCATCAAGTTCCTCCTACCCACAGAGAAAATGCACCTCACCTGGCATGTAAGGCTTCCTTGAACTTCTTGTCTTTCAAGCCATATATATATATTTTTAACCGTATCCCTGATAGGTCTCCTCTCCTGGACACGTTTGTTTACACCAGTTTCCCCCTTTGCCTCCTCATTTGTGCTTTGTCATCTGTACACAAAATAATTCACCTGTAGAAAGAAAACCGACTCATCTTTCCAAGTCCAATTCATAACTTGCGTCCTCAGAATTCTCCCTAACTCTTAAATCTGAAGTTACTGCTTGGGTCCTTTAAACACTTGTAGACCAATTATTCTCTGCCTATAGGATTTATTTGGTAGTAGGGCAAGTAATGTTTTGTGATTCCTGTATTGTCTTCTTGAATAAGTATTTGTGTTTTATTTTTTATTGAGGGGACAGATAATTAGGTTTATTCATTTATTTTTAGAGGAGATACTGGGAATTGAACAGAGGACCTTGTGCCTGCTAAGCATGTGTTCTACCACTTGAGCTGTACCCTCCCCACAAGTATTTGTGTTTTAAAATTTACCTTTTTGTATGTCTGTCTGCCCTTTCTAACAATGTTAGTGACACTTTAAAATAAAGATACTTACATATAACTTATGTACAAATGTTTAGATATAAAGATATTTAAAGAGATTGGTTTATCTTCTTCCACAGCTGGCCTGGCATACTCTTTTTAGGTGCCCAAAAACTATGATAAACTAGCCCGAGCCAAGTTCTAGTCAGAACCTTCCAGTGCTGAATTATCCACTGTGGTGGATAATGTCTTAGTAAATTTTTGTAACAGAAAATCCAGGCATTTGTGAAAATATGAGCCCTGTTTTGGTTCTGGTGACCTTTTCAAGTTTTAAGGGTATATTGATCCCATCATTGTCTACCTGTCACTGAGGGAGAGGATGCCTGTTGGTGTACTTCTCAGAAACGTGTGTTAGGAAGTTAACTAACTTGCACAATTTGGCTGTTCCGCAGGTCCTGTCTGCCTTTCATGACCAACTACAGTTTCCACTGCAATGTGTGCCATCACAGTGGGAACACCTACTTCCTCCGGAAGCAAGCAAGTAAGGACAAACTCTGGAGCCCTGCAGATTTCCCTCTGGTTCTCTGGGAAGGAAGAGGGGCTTGGGCTTAGCCCAGTGAGGAAACCTTTGCCTGGTAGCTGGCGGGAGTTCCCGTGGGGCTTAGCGCTGAGTTAATTGGTGCTGTCCATTTCAGATCAGATGATAACTGTACTCTTTTCTGCTATCGTTGTTAATCTGCGGACCATTGAGCTGAACATTCTTCTGGTAATAGGAGTATACTACTCTGGGTGACTTTTTCTTCCTTTTTGTTTTTGATAGACTTGAAGGAAATGTGCCTTAGCGCGTTGGCCAACCTGACGTGGCAGTCCCGAACACAGGACGAACATCCAAAAACCATGTTCTCCAAAGATAAGGTAGAGGTAGCATTATTGTCATTGCGATTATGCAAAAGAATTAGAAGGCACTTCTAAATACAGGGGACCCTTGAACAACAGGGGTTTGAACTGCGCTGGTCCACTTATGATATGTGGATTTCTTTTTCACTAAATACGTATTACAATATTACACAGTCTGAGGTTGGTTGAATCCTTGGGTGTGAAACCATGTATACAGAGGGCCAACTGTAAAGCTGTATGAGGATTTTTGACTGTGGATGGACAGTTGGTGCCCCTAACCCCAGGGTTGTTCAACGGTCAACTATACACTCTTGAACAATAAGTTTCTAAACCTCTCAGTTTTTATTAATCTATGACTGTAGACTCAATGGTTACTTTGTTCTCATTCCATGTTATTTACTAACTTGCTGGTGTGTGCACATTATGTCACTTGGCTTAACTATTAGTGGATGGATCCTTAAATAGTTTTGATTGGCTTTATAAACGCAAACAACTGTCCCATAATTAATAACCAGATCTTGCGGGAGAGGGTATAGCTCAGTGGTAGAGCGCATGCTTAGTATGCACGAGGTCCTGGGTTCAATCCCCAGTACCTCCATTGAAAAAACCAAATAATAAACCTAATAAATAAACCTAAATAAAAAACCAAATAAATAAACCTAATTACCTCCCCCTTGGGAAAAAAATTTTTTTTTTTAAATCGGCTCTTGAGGTGAACCTTCTTAGCTTAGTTTGAGCTGTATTTATAGATGCTTATCAGAGTTTGTCAGGGGAAAAGGTCAATTTATGCATGCCTTTTATTAAAAAGAATTATCCTTTACTGTTAAACTGAAAAACCACATGACTAAAGTCAGGACTCAGAATTAGATGATTAGTCCATCCATGAGTCTTTTCTACTGTGATTCATGGTAAAAATACGACAGTTAAGTAAATTTCAGAATGATGAAGCTTACAGTGACCCAGTATACATGGATCTCTGCCCACTCTCATTTAAAACTGAAATAAAAGTTTCACCCACTGGGCTTACCCTCTGATCTTTTCCTTCTGCACTCTGATATTTTCCGTTCTAGTCACTGCTAGTTTTGACCTGCAAAATTGATTTTATAACCTACTAATTGACTGCAACCTACAGTTTGAAAGACACTGATATAGGGTGTTTAGTGAGACCAGTATTTCAGTATCAGATTCTGTATCTTTTTTACTAAACAGAGAGGTTAGGACTTAACCCTATAAGCCAGAGGAGTCAACAGAGGGTCCCCTTCCCCCACCCCAACTTTTTTCCTCCATTGAATGGAATGCATTTAAATAGAGGTGTGCCATGATTAGATTTTGTTTTTCCCCCTTAAGTCTTTTTTCCCAAATTATTATTTTGGATTTTTCAAATACACAGAAAAATTCAAATACTACAACGAAAATCTGCCTATTTTTTCCCTAGATTTGCCAGTTGTTAATATTGTGCTGTGCTTGTTTTATCTCTTCATATCTGTATTTTCTCCCTAAATTTATATGAGACTAAATCGCAGATACTATAATACATTACCCAATATTCTCTCATAACCACAATACAGTGGTCATACTCAAAAAATTGAATGTTGATGCAATACAACTATCTTAACATACACAGTTTATATTTTTATGTATATGGTGTATATTTTCACAGTATTTTTATTACCTTAATAATATCCCTCCATCCAGCATTCAATCAAGGATCACACATTAAATTTAGTTGTAATGTCTTATCTCTAGAACAGTTCCTTAATTTATTTTACTTCGTTTTTTTGGTCTGCTGTGACATTTGGAATTTTGAAGAGCCCAGATAATTTGCCAGGATGTTTCTCAATTTGCATTTATCCAGTGGTTTCCTTATGATTAGATTCAGGTTACCTGTTTTTGGGAAGGCTGTTATGTAGGTAGTATGAGTTTTTCTCTGTTTCACATCAGGAGGCATAAAATAGTGCTTTGTTTTATTATTAGTGATCCTAAATTTGACTATTTAGGTAAAGAGTTTATTAGTGATCCTAAATTAGACTACTTGATTTCTCCATTGTAAAGAGGCCCTTATTCTTTGTAATTATTAAATAATTCATGGGGTGATACATCGAGTTTGTGTGAATGTCTTGTTCTCTTAACCCTTTTAAGCAGTGGTTGTAGCAACCATCTAGCCTGAATCAGTTAGTGAAGTGGTTGCTGTAAAACAGAATACATTTACTGGTTAAACTTCTTCAATAAAGAAGATTCCATTTAAAAAAAATTTTTTTAAATCATTGTGGATTTGCAGATTTTTATAGTCCACTGTGAGATTTCTGGATTACTGCTCGGATGAGACCAGTGTAGCCCCATCCAGGCAGATACCTACACTTTTTGGTGGGTCCCTATCAGTTTTTGAACTCTTCCTTTTTTCCTGGAACAGCAAGATATTCCAGTCTTCCCTTGTGCTTTTCCTGATTCGACCCTCGTTCCTTTTAGTAAAAATTTGGTTTTCATGGAACTAACTGGTTGAAAACGTTAGTGATGGACTAACTCTGCTGGAGTGTGGAAGATGGTCTAGGGTAGGGGAACTATAGTGCCAGAAGACCAAGCTCAGACCAAGTTTCAGTCATGTAAGCAGGAACTGACTGAGGACCACAGTCATAGCAGTGGGGATGGAAAGGATGCCTGACTGGTAGGAAATTTCTGAAATTTTAAAATTCATTTGGTGACTATTTGGATATGGAGGTTGTACGAGAGAACTAGGATGACTCGGTTATGTCAAGCATGTGATTCTGGGTGACAGGTGACTGAGTATTAAGAGCAAGAACAGAAATTTGCAGAGATTTGTGGGGTGAGATACAGAGTTCAGTGTTAGTCACAAAAAGTCCGAGGTGCCTGCGGGATGCCCACATGGAGATGTCTCAAGCAGGGAGGAACAGGAAGGAGCTCAGGAGATAGAGCGCGGGGGAGTCATCTTCCAGATGGCAACCGAGAAAATAGGGTGGATTGTTTCCCTCCTGCTGGATCATAAGCCCTGCGGCTAAGATCTGTATATACTTACTTGAAATTCCCCACAACCTATATGCTTGCATGCAATTTTGTATTCAGTTATTAAAAAACTAAACATGGATTTGTCTTTTGATTCCGATGAAGTCTTTGAAAGTGCTGCAGGTTTTTGTGTGTGTGAGCTTAATTTTGAAAGCAACTATAAAGGTCTTAATATTTTGTTTTAAAAATTAGGATATCATACCATTTATTGATAAATACTGGGAGTGCATGACAACCAGACAGAGACCTGGAAAAATGACTTGGCCAAACAACATTGTTAAAACGATGGTGAGTACACTAAAACTGACGAGACTCGACATTTAGAATATCCATGTTCTTTTGTAAGAATTTTTTTTTTGATTTTACTGAAAGAATATGATGACTAAGAAAATGGAAACAACTTAGCATTAAATCTTGAAGAGTAATTGTAAACTTTAATAGTTTTCACACAGCATCAGTAAGTTGCACATAAAGACGTGGTAGTTTTACACACGACACTGAAACCTTTGTCCAGTGCACTTTTGCAAGTATGATTTTATATTGAAATTGGAGACAGTTTTCTTTGATTTAAAAAAAGCCAATAGCACTGTTCTAAACACTGTTCTTAGAATTAGAGCACCTGGGGGGAGGTCAGCGCCAGCTGTTGACGGTACTTATCTCTGTGATGTGGAGGGAGGGATGAGGGTTAGGAAGGATGGTGGCTCTCGTTTTCTCTGTTTGAATTTTTTTAATGTCATATATTAATTTTGAATAATTTTTAGTTTCTCTATTTGAATTCTTTGGTTGTGTATTAATTTTCTAATCAGAGGGAAAAACTTTATATATGTGTATATATATATATTTTTGGAGATTACACCTAGGAATTGGAGTCAGTGGTTGATCATCTGTTCAGTACTTCTTTTAAGTATAAAATTTCCAGTCATACTAAAATATTAAAATACTATTTCCTTTAGAGTAAAGAAAGAGATGTGTTCTTAGTAAAGGAACATCCTGATCCCGGAAGTAAGGACCCAGAGGAAGATTACCCCAAATTTGGCCTCCTAGATCAGGTACAGCAATATGCTTCATATTCCCCTTTTGATTTTTAAGCCACGGGGACAGAGAATCAGGCTCTGATTACATTTGTGTATTTGCCACTTACAACATACTGCCATTCATGCCCGTAGCCTGGTGGGCTCCAAATAAGTGGTTCTCACTACTTGTGGAAAGAAAAGGACCCTCACCGTAAATGGGGGAGACCAGTGTTTTGGGTCTGGCTCTTCCCTAAAGTGTTAGGACTTGATACATATCAGTTTTATCTTTCTTAACTTCAGTTTCCTCACTTGTAACCCAAATACGCCATTCCAAGTTATTTCTAATTTTCTTTCCATCTCAAATTTTGCTCTAAAAACATTTAATGTGAAGAAAAATGTGTCGTGAAGAATTTGTGTTGTGTGTCCAGCATAGCATGAGGAAAAAGATTTCCAGTCTTGGTTCAGTGACAAGGGTCACATTTAGCATCTCAGGAGGTCAAGTCTTTTAGCTCTGCCTTTAAATGTTTGCTTTGCCAGCAGTGAAAATTGAGGTTTCTGTCTGTCTTCTTGTAAAATGAGAAGCTCTGGCCACACTGGGCCTGGACTCCCACAGGGAGCGCTGAGTCAGCGGGGCTTAGGCACTGTGGTCCGGTCTGGTCCACCATTGCCCTTCCACCACCCTCACCCTGGTTGGCTACCATTCGTCCTCGTTCTGAAACCACTTAGTTCCTTACCCTTGGCTGCCTCACACGTGTTACTTGCTCATGCCTGAAGCATCTAAATTTGGGACCCCTACAGTTTCAGACTCTAGGATTGTCATTGTTTTAGTATTTCTCCTGTTTTTTTGGAGCATTGCTAGGTTGGTTTGATGATATAGCCTCCCTTTATAATTGAACATTTTTCCCCCCAGGATCTTAGTAACATTGGTCCTGCTTATGACAACCAAAAACAAAGCAGTGCCGTGTCTACCAGTGGGAATCTAAATGGTAAGCATGTAAATGTCTTCTTGATGAAATATTTGTAAGCTGTTGAATCCACATGTGCCTAGAATTGGGTTGACTCTTAACCGGTATTTCCTAAGATGCTTTAAAGTCCAAATCTCAATTTTTAGGAGCTAGCCAAGGATTTGACAGATGGTAGTAGAGGCGGACTTTTTGTCACTTGACACCACACTTTGGTCTTAAGTGAAACAGATTTAGCGTAAAAGGTACAATCCTAAGGTCAGATTTACTGTGTTTATGTTAGACTCCCCATCTGTATCCTCATAACTAACACTCAGTTTAGATAGATTTGCTCTCCATTCTTTTTCCTTAATTCAGTTGTTATTTAACAAACTTCCTATGCCCATCTTCTAATTTTTCTTGCCCTGAGTCTTTCAGCTTATTCACATGACAGCATTTCTGTGTTGACCACCCACTGTAGCACGTCTTTCTGCCTAACCTGTCCAGCGGCAGGAATGTCCTTTGTTACTAATGGTAGTCTAACAAGAGTGGGGAGAGCGGAGCGGTAGCTAGCTACACGTCTGACACGTGGTGTCATTAACTTGTCTTTTGGAGTGGTAGCACCTTAAATATGTAATCATTTCCACTGTTATTAATATTCTAAGATGGGTTGGAGATAACTAAATGTATTGTTCATCTTTTTACCCTATTTCCCCCTTTTAATTGTTAAAATTTGACAAATACATGGTGCCACTTCTGTTCTTACAGGTGGAGCCTCTTTTGGAGGTGAATTCCTCCTCTGTCTTCTTTCAGCCTCTCAGACTTAAGTATTTTGTGGTTTGGAAAATGCTTTTTGCTGAGTTGTGGTAGAAGCTAAAACTAAGTTAAAATTTTAAAGCATTGTGACAGTGGTGGCCATAGCACTTACTATGAAACAGTAGTTCCGGTTTAATGTTAGTAATTAAAAGCTTGTACGTTGTCATATTCTGCCTGACACTGCCAGCAGTCCCCTCAGCATTGCTTGTTTTGTTCGAGATGGACCTAAAACTTCTTTCTTGAAATAATTGAAATGCAAATACCGATAAAAACTTAAATAGTTTTTTGACTAAGGTAACTCAAACTAGAAACATTGATGTTGCAACAGGTTTGCAACAGTTTAACATTAAATCTTTCATGAGGAGTACTAATGACACCCAGTGTGTTCATAGAAGAAAGTTCTGCATCAGTCTGGTCCTGTCTAAGCAGAATATGACCTGCCCTCAACGTCTTCATCCTCTTTATTGCAGCAGAACTGCTGGTAATTTTCAAGCTTGTCTCGAATTAAGATGCAGTTGTTTACATAAAGGTGTTTTCCTACAGTTCAGGTTTTCTGGAAGATGGAAAAACAAACTAATTGAGAGGAAAGACAGAACTGGACAAAAATTTCAAAGTACTTAATTCAGAAATACACAAGGTAGTATTCCTTGTGACCTTATATAGCTCAATACGTATATATATATTTTTTGTATACAATTTGTAAATTCTCTATTGATATTTTCTCTTCATTCCACAAGCCAGGTCAGTCTAACCTGAATTTGATGCATTGGCACAATCTTAATAATTGTAAAAATTGCCTACTAAATTGGAAGCCGCCTTTCCTACTCGTGTTATGCACGACCACAGTGGGTGCCTACCTAGCAGCACTGGAGAGAAACACCTTTTTAGTTCTTCTGTTTTTGTTTTCCATGCTTAGTGTACTTTTGTCTTGTTGGATATTCGAGTTAAGTGCTTTAGCCCATGTCGTGCCTTTATTTATGTTTATGGAATATACTGTGTGTAGTTCAAGCGAGCAAACATTTACTTATAGTGAGGGTATTCTCTCTTTATGGATGTTTGTATTGATTTGGGTGGAAAAAATAAACTCGATCCACGCAGTAGTGCAATAGCTTTTAGCGGTGGGTGTTTGGAATCTGAATGAGTGAAAATGCATTTGTGTCACAGCTAGAAAGTGTCCTAGAAAGTTGCAGTTCAATGAGAAAGGAAGGCTGGAAAGGCAGCGCAGGTGTCGTTAGTGCCAGGTCCATTTGACTTACTGCCCTAACCCAGTGTCCTGGGCTGTGAGCCACTCAGCAGACTCAGTCCGAACCGGGATGAAATCCAGGATGCTTTCGGGACGGCAGTCCTGTAGTGTTACACAAATGCACGCTGCGAGTGTTAGTCCCTGTGGAATGTCAGTGTCAGTCGCAGTTCATGGAAAGTGATCTGCCTTCTCTTCACAGGGGGAATTGCAGCAGGAAGCAGCGGAAAAGGAAGAGGAGCTAAGCGCAAACAGCAGGATGGAGGGACCACGGGGACCACCAAGAAGGCCCGGAGGTAGGCAGAACCCCCCCCCCCACCGTTAGAGTGTTCTCTGTGGCTGGCCAAGGGGGAGAGCTCGGGTGTCTGAGGGTACTAGCCTTTTTATTATTCTCCAGTCCTAAGCCCTTTGAGGATAGAATAACCCCAGGCTAGGTATCTTGTTTTAGGAACTTGTTTGCTACTTAAAACGGCCCTGGGGCAGCACCCTGTAGTGGTTTACCTGGGAGCACAGTTTGGTTAAGGCATCTTGAGAAAGGATAGGTTTGCCGGAGGGAGTGAAACCGGTACGGAGTGTTGGCTCCGTCACTGAGCTTCCTGTCTCTTCCCTCTGGGGACTCTCCCTTCACCTAGTTCAGTACTGAGGTCATGAAGTCCAGGTCATTTCTTTCTCAGACTGGCGACAGGGAGGAAGGTTCTGTTCATTAGTTTATCATAATAAATACGCTAAAGGAAACTGCCTTGGTTTCTCTTCTCCTTTCTCCCCTCTGATGGACTGGTTCACTTCCATAGAAATCTGTACAGATAAATAATTTTCATGTCCCTGTTTTGCCTGCAGAGAGCAGGGTGAGCTATTTGAATACAATGAGAAGCATTTGAAGTTGCCTATATTCCAGCTGAAACCTAATCGGTCAGAGGCCTTTCTTACAGAATTGAAGGCACTTGAGCTAGAGGGGGTTTTAGTTTCTTGATTTTATTTTTTCCTTTCTGCAGTGACCCTTTGTTTTCTGCTCAGCGCCTTCCCCCTCACGGCTATCCCTTGGAGCACCCGTTTAACAAAGATGGCTATCGGTATATTCTAGCTGAGCCCGATCCCCATGCTCCTGACCCCGAGAAGCTCGAACTGGACTGCTGGGCGGGAAAACCGATCCCCGGAGACCTCTACAGAGCCTGCTTGTATGAACGGGTCTTGTTAGCCCTGCATGATCGAGGTGGGCAACCTATTTATGTTCAGGAGGGACCCAGAGTTACTTACAACTGTTGTTGTTAGCCCTGTCCAGCCTGAGTCAGTCTGTTACCCCTCCCTCACCCCCATCTCTACCTGGACTCAGCCAGATTGTGTAGGAAATAATGTCCTTCTTTGTCTCTTCTTACAACCTCTAGCTATTTATATATAGTATAACTTTTTTTTTAAAACTTTCTATTTTGAATGAATTTTAAACTTACAGTCAAGTTGCAAAAATAATACTTTTGTTGGGGGGGAGGAGAGGTAATTAGGTTTATTTATTTATTTACTTTTTTTTTAGAGGCGATATTGGGGATTGAACCCAGGACCTTGTGCATGCTAAGCATGCGCTCTACCACTTTGAGCTATACCCTCCCCACTAAGTTGCAGAAATAATAGAATTTCCATATATCCTTCATCAAGCTCCTCCTAATGGCAAGATCTTACACAACCATAGAACAATTACCAAAACCAGGAAATTAACATTGGTAAATGCTACTAATGAAACTAAAGGCTTTTTTTAAATTTCACCAGTTTTTCCCCTCATGCCTCTTTTCTAGGATCTCACGTTGCATTCAGTTATTTCTCCTTCGCCTCTTGCAGTATTATTCAGTTATTTTGTTGAATATTCCTCTGAGGGTCTGTTTAACTTTTTCGCATGCTTAGACTGATTTTGCACATATTTTGGGAGAACCCTGCAGACAGGAGTCCTTCCCTTTGCGTCATCTCATGGGGCGGGTGATGTCAGTGTGTTTCGTTGGTTGTGTTGACATGATCCCTTGGTGAAGGTGGGTTCTGCTGGCTCTCTGCCGTCTTTCCCTCTGCTGTTAGTAAACATCTTAGGGAAAGATACTTTGAGGCTGTGCAAGTATCCTGTTTGTCTGTAAAGTTTTGCCCACTAACTTCCTTTCTCCGTGTATTATTAATTATTTGTCAGTGTGGACTTAGGTATTTAATTTTGTAGAGGACATTTTATTTTGTTGCTCAAATTATTCCAGCTTTGACCATTAGGAGCTTCTTTAGGTTGGTTTTTGTGTTTTCTTTTTTGTTGTTGTTGTTGTTTTTAAATTTTCTTTAATTGAAGTATAGTTGACTTAGAATATTAGTTTCAGGTGTACAACATAGTGATTCGGTATTTTTATAGTTAGTACAAAATAATGGTTCTATTTCCTGGTGCTGTATAATAAATATATCCTTATAGTTTATATCATGCATCTGTATGTAGTTTGTACCTCTTTATCAACCTCCTTCTCTTTTGCCCCTCCCTCTCTCCCGACTGGTGACCACTAGTCTGTTCTCTGTATCTGTGTCTCTTTCTGTTTTGTTATATACATTCATTTGTATTTTTTTTTTTTTTTTTTTTAGAATCCACATGTAAGTAATAACAGAGTATGTGTCTCCCTGACTGACGTTTTACTAAGCAGAATGCCCTCCAGGTCCATCTGCATTGTTGCAAATGGAATCTTTTGTCCTTTTGATAAGCCCTATCTCTTTTTTTCCCTTAACTTTCTGTTGTCACAAGATGTTTTTGGCTCATCTCATATTTTCCAGTCTCCGTTCCAAGCATCAGCTACTTCTCCAAGGAGCCCTGGTTCC